ATAGCAATATAAATGGTTTTATCATCATATATTATTTTTCCATGATAACAGGTGAGGCTCTGCCTCACCTGCCTCCCCTAACCGCACGTCACTGGTCAATATATATTTAAGGTTTATTGAATAAACCTTGCAAATATTGATTAAACATTGAATATATTCAATGAATGTTTGAATTAACTCTGAATGTAATGACTGCTTAATCATTTCCGTAACACAGCACTTTTCATATGAATTTTCAAGTACTTCCACTAGATGGCCTCATTTCACAAAAACATACAAAAATAAACCTTTAATATATTGAATAAACCTTGTATATGTTGAATAAACCCAGAACACATTACAGTTTTTCTTGTCAACTACAATTGGGAGATCAATGACAAGACAATGAAATTCACATTCATTTCCTTTAGTGTAATTTGTTGACAGACCACACCATTGTGATACAATAAGCAGAACACAGAAAAAAAAATGGGAACACGAGACCATCTCCTTAAGTAAAAACTTTGCATGCAGTAGGGACAACAGTGCAGTCTTTATATACTTTCCATCTCCATGCCGAGAAAAATAAATCCTCAGTGGTGTAAAGTAATGGAGAGCAGGGTGAGAGGCATCCTGTTGTGGGTCGTAAACCATATCCTGATGATGATGATGGAGGAGGACAAGTTATCGAAACGGACATATCCTCTGTCTCCTTTGCCTCTTCTGTTCTGACCCCGTCCAAATCCTCATCCTTCCATTGACAGAAATGTAACATTGTTGATAGTTCAAGAGATTTAACTTTGAGCTACTTCAGAAAACTGGTTGATCAGTGGTTGAGGTGATGCTTCACACATTTACCTACGTTGGAGAAACTTCACCTGGGAGCAATTGATCACTTCAGGACAGATTTAGGAAAAGGTGTCTGAAATAGATATAAATATGCTTGACAACTTGTTCAAGCATTTTGCATATTTAAGACTTATGCAGCAAATTTATTCTTAAATGTTGTGGGGGTTGAGACAAATCAAATATCTGCAATACATTTTGATCAACATAAGCAATTGAAAATGTAGGAAAAAGCAGATAGTTATGCATCGCTGTCAAGTTTTTTGCTCTCTTAAGCCACCTCAGCTTTTGCCCAAACTTGAAAAGGCTTTCTTCCTCCAAAGAGATGCAGGTACAACTCATCTCAGTGACATCTTTTATTTATTTTTTCTTTTTCTTTTCTTTAGATGAATCTCATCAACAGCATATGAACATGTGGTCACATGAGCAGTGGTTCACATGAGTAGGTTACAGAGTAGTCAATGAGTAGCCACAGAGTAGGTTAAAAACCTACAAATAGATAAGAAAAATATTAAGTACAGATCACAATGAGTTAATTTTAACTTGAACTAATTAACTAGCTTCTCAAGTAATTATTTAATAATTTACTCTTAAGTTAACAGTGAATAAATAAATGAACTACGTTCCAAACAGCACAATTACTTTATTTCCAAACACATGAAAACCATTGCATGAAACAAGTCTATTTTGGTCTTCTGACTGCAATTTGAATGATATAAACTGAGAATAATGTCCAATCCTACCAGTGGTGTCTTTGAGGAAGCTTTCAGCTGAGGTTTTTTGAAGAAAGATCATTCTGAGCACAGGTGAGCCAAGTTACCTTAAAGATTTGGCTGCTGAGTTTGAGAAGTAAAAGGGATGGGTGCGCTTGATTCTTTGTGAGGTACGTGCCAGTTGGGTGGAGATGGTGAACACATTCAAAAGTGTACCATTTGCTGTTAGCACATTGATTTGCGTTGCTGCTGAAATGTGCTATGTAAGTATATTTGCTTTGCCCTGAATTCTTTATGTACCGTATCAGCCTAAAAAAATGCACCTTCGGTTAAATCCACCAGAGGGCGCTTTTCTCCTAAATTTGTTTTGCCAGAAAAGCTCAAGGTTTACAATTTACATAGTAATTTAAAAAGAATTAACACGTCTTAACACTTTTTCCCGTAAATATAATGACATACTAAATTATATATTTATTAAGTCTCTGCTAAACATTAATGTTTGCCTTGACATGGTAGCAAATATCGGATCTTAATTCTTGCTAAAGTTTCAGTAACTTTTTTTTTTATTTTTTACATTTGAGTAAATATTTAGGTATTCTCTGATGGGGTTGTTTTTTAACACTTCAAATTTAGTTTCGGCTGTTAACGTTAACTAATAATTTGTTTTAACAATCACCAGGGTAAGTACGCGGTGAATTTGTTGTTTTAATTTTGGGGTACCAGGGTGTGACGCTAGTTTATTTACTGTGTTGTGTTTCTCCGGGTGCCTCAGAGGTAGAAGCTAAGGTGCAGCAGCAGACAGACATACAGCTGTGTGTGTGTGTGTGTGTGTGTGTGTGTGTGTGTGTGTGTGTGTGTGTGTGTGTGTGTGTGTGTGTGTGTGAGCTCATAGCGGTGGCTCCCCCTCTTCCTCCTCCTCTCAGCTGGTGTTGCGACCTCACCACCAGTCAGTCTCTCTCTCTCTCTCTCTCTCTCTCTCTGCTTCTGGTTTGCTTACTTTTCGCCTGAACTTCACTTGCAGTGCGTACGTTGCGTCCAGCATCACATCTCTGCGAGAGGTTTTGAAGAACTTCCTTCGGCACGATGGACTGAACCAGGTCTCCTATCAGGAGTGCGGATACTTCAAAGAGAAGACGCTTGATTTGTATGTTAGCTATTTTTTAAATTTTATTTTATTGAGAGATTTCGACCTGTTTTCTCCATCATGGAAGAGGACGAGGGGCATCATGAGAACGGGGTTCACGTCGTGAAGGACTCAGACAGACAGCAGCGGCTCCGGCTCTGCGTTTTGAACGAAATACTCAACACAGAGCGGGACTATGTCCGGACGCTGCTCTTCCTTCAGTCGGTAAGTTTGACATTTACCTCTCTCTCTCTCTCTCTGTCGCGCTGGGTGCTGAAATTCACTTTCCTCTGTCTGCAACACAAAGCGGCACAAATTACTACCCACATGAGGTGCAGCACTGACTACCCTGGTTTCTGCTTCTTCACTTTGACAGATGTGAATCCCATGTTAATGTTTGAAGCCCGACACAAGTTAGGACTTTGTTTTGAATTGTTAGACATGCACCCTTCACGTCGTTTAATGACCCGACTTCCCGTTTCCAAATCTGTAAGTTGTTTTTTTTCTAAACAATATAAAATAGGGCTGGACATTCATAGTATCGTTTATCATTTACTGTGATAAATTACACAGTAAATCATGATAAGAATCATGATAAGAATCACGATAAGAATTTTGATATTGTTGTCAAAATAAGATTCAATTAACGATGTTTAAAATCCCTCAAAGCTGTCTATTACTGGGATTTTTAATTTCACCATTTTTCATCAAGAGTATCAATAAATACCCATACATTTGAAAATATGTTTAAATGCAGTTACTGTGACCAATTAGTGATACAGATCACACTTTTTAATGTGACTGCTGTCAAAGGGAGGCACATTACACATTTCTTCCAAGAGCAATACTTGTGTTTGTGGAGCTGATTGTTGTTCCATTCAGTCACCAAAAGGAGTAATAAATAGTTCATATTGACACTTTTATGATTATCACAATAGTACTATAAAATATTGTGATAAATCCATATTGCCTAGCCCTACTATGAAACTCATAAATGAGAAAAATGCTTAAGTTAAACACATTGCCTCAAAGCATGTGTCTCTAATGTTAATGAAGCTAACCAGAGAATCACAGGTTCTCTGGTTAGCTGCCTTTTTGTGCATTTAGTTAATCGGGAGGGAAAAAAATCTGATTCTTTTACAATTGAACCAATCAGAAAATTTCTTATTTGGATGTCTAGTCCACTGTGGGAGCATGTTATGAACAAGACTGCTGAATTCACACCTCTCCTTTGTGTGCTAAAGCTCAGATCTGACACGCTGCAAGATGGCATGAATTCAAAGGGGCTTTGCAAAAAAAAAAAAAAAAAAAAAAAAAAATCAAATCCCCTGAGCTGCAGCTCCACGCCTTCCCCTGACTCAGATAAGAAACTATTTTCAGCAGTTTCTTATTCAGTCATTGTTCAGGACCTCCTTTCTGAATGAACTGACTGGTCATTTGTTTTTTGTTTTTTTGTTTTGCATGCTCCTTTCAGCTTTGGGCAGTAGTTTGCTTCCCACCTGCAGGTGACTATTCAGCTCATCGCTTCTGGCTGTCGTCTTGCTTCGCCTCTGCCATGTCACCTCAGTTACTTGTTCATTGTAGGTGGCGCCTGCCTCCAGCTGTGACCAGATTATGGATGTGTGGTCTGCATAAGACATCTTTATTATAATACAATGCTAATTGCTGAGGGGAAATTCCCCTCTTTTATCGACATCCCCCTCCCCCTTTGTGATAAGAAGAAAAGTAGAAGAAAAGTTAGAGGTCAGGCTCAAATGCAAAGCCTCAGCCTGGAGCAAATGGCCTATTCAGTTTCTGTCCTTTGGCTTCCTGCTGGCTGGAGGGCAACGACTGGTTGTTGCCATTCTTACTCTTCGAGACGTATTTATTAGAATCCAGATGATTCCTGGCTTTTTCCTGTTTTCATCGTCTGGCAGATATTTGTCAAGCTTGGCGTTGGTTCCCTCTTTCCTCTGTGCTGTCGCATGTTAAGGACTTCCTTAAAGTTCTGCTTGCTTGCAGAGCCGCATCCTGTCACTCAGAACATGCATGATCGAAAAAAAAACAGCCATCTGATGAAAACATATTATCCCACTTTTACTAAAAGGTTTTGTTGGTTCTAGTGGCCTTTATTTGAAAGTAGTTTGACAAGAAAGAGGGGGAAGACATGTGGCAAATGTCGCCAGGTTGGGAATTGAACCTGCGACCACTAGCATGAGGACTAAGGCCTCGATACATGGGTTATGCTTTGCTCCTGCACCACCACAGCTCCCATCTGACTTTTACTTTTATATCACTCAGTTCATCTTTTGGAAATTTATGTTGGATGTTTTCTCTGGATGGACTCATCACCAGTTTAGACCCAGATCTGAACCTCATTGTGGCGTAACACAGAATGAGGTTCAGTGTTACACCATATAAAACCCACTGGGCATTAGTAAAATGGCTGGTGGATTTCGTATGGCAGCGGTTGTGACATGATGATGGCTCCCCCCCAGAGGGAGCAGAGGTTTGCCCCCATCCAGCTTCTCTGTGCTGTTGATAAGGAAGCTCACAGTATTTTCAGTAAAGATAAAGTACGGATCAGGAACTGGGGTGAGGGTAACAAATCTCTGGAGAGCAGCACAATCAAGAGGCAGTGATAGGGGGATGACAACAAACTGATCATGAAATCAAATTGTTAGTGTGTTTTTCTAATTCTACACGTTGTTTATATCCCAAACCCAGATAAACTCAAACTTATTCCCAGTTTTGAGAGCTGCATGAGAAAACATCAGTGGAAATGGAGTGTGAGGTTTTTACCTCGGGGTTTCTAAGCCAGTTGATGCCACAGTGCTGTCCTTCATGCTGAATGTTGGTGAAGTCTGTAAAATCTGATAATGTGGAACTGAAGTTGTGATGTGACTGACAGGGTTTCAGCTGCCCGCCTCCACATTTTTATTTTACTGTACCTCCATGTGCAACCCCTTAGAAAACGACATAAACGTCATATTTTTCTGTAGAGTCCCTTTTAGCTTCTCCTTTTCTTCCTCTGATTGTTGGGGGGATTTTGAGCCTTCCCATGTTGCAGATTTAACAGGATTTCAAAATAGACCCTTTATTTTCCTCTGACTTTGTGCTCTTTCACAAATCTTTGGACCCTTCCCTGTTTCTTCATCAGAATGACCACACTGATTCTGAATGGGCCAGTTTCAGATTCTCACAAGGCGATGACGTGTAGTAAATCTCCTGGTTTCAAACATTTAAAACGACCTGAATGTAATTGCTTTTAACAAAAAAGTCCTGTGAAAGTTTTAGGATGTCATTACAGTAGACCTCCTCCTATTGGTGGATTTTTCTGTGGAGCGTAACTTTACACCGTCGTGACAGAAGGATGGGAACTTTTAGTGTTTTTTTTTTAAGTGAAACAGTTGAAAACACAGTTTCACTGACACACTAAGTGGATGGTTATCCAGCCTGGGCCTCTCAGCTGTTCTGCATGTCTCTCATCCCCTGGCACTTACCAGCTCCAACAGCCTCATCCAGCACTGTTAGTAGGATGTGCATGCAGGGATGTTGTGAGGTGAGGAAGGGGGAGGAAGGATGGAGCCAATGGAGATTAAAAAGACTGTGTTTGCTCAGCATTATTGCTTAAAAATCTATTTCAGTTTTAGAGCAGAGTGGAGGACGTCTGATTTGAACAAGCTGATGTCTTTTTATTTCCAAGTTTCTGCTGATAACTACTTCTTTACTGCTTTACGTTTTGTTGTGACATCCCCCCCGCCCTGTTGGTGTCTGATCACTTCTTAGCGCCACAGATTTGTGGGGATTTTCTCTCTATCGGCATGGCTTTGTTGATGCGATCCAGTCAACTGGATTTTCCCCTGCCGGGATACACCGACACCAAAACGCTCAATAGCGTCATGCCTGCTGGATTTCAGGGGGTTTTCCTTCAAAATCATAAACATGGTTGTTGGCCACTTTCTTTCTTTTTTTTTCACTACAGTGACCCATGTCTCACTGAATCTCATTCTGTAAAAACAAGAGTGGAAATATGAGGCCAATAAATCAGTGCTTTGGTGTTAATTCTGAGATGTGAAAGAGGATTTGAGTGACCAGGAAGGATAATGGGAAACATCTGGAAATCCTGCCA